TACCGAAAGACCCAAAAGAATACTTTAGTTTAGTTAAACATGTATGTTGAAAAAAATAGTTTTTGTGTGTGTGGGGGGGGGGGGGGCACAAACGGCCAACGCTGTGTGTGGGTGAGTCGGTGGGTGAATCGGTGGTTGAGTGAGTGGGTGGGTGAATGAGTGAGTGGGTGAGTAGGTGGGTGCGTGAGTGGGTGGGTGAGTGGGTGAGTGGGTGGGTGAGTCGGTGGGTGAGTGAGTGGGTGGGTGGGTGAGTGAGTAGGTGAGTGGGTGACTGAGTGAGTGGGTGAGTGGGTGGGTGATTCGGTGGGTGAGTGAGTGGGTGAGTAGGTGGGTGAATGAGTGTGTGAATAGGTGGGTGGGTGGGTGCGTGAGTGAGTGGGTGAATGAGTGAGTGGATGAGTGAGTAAATTGGTGAGTGGGCGAGTGAGTAGGTGAGTGGGTGACTGAGTGAGTGGATGAGTAGGTGGGCGAGTGAGTAGGTGAGTGGGTGGGTGAGTAGATGGGCGAGTGAGTAGGTGAGTGGGTGACTGAGTGAGTGGGTAAATGGGTGGGTGAGTCGGTGGGTGAGTGAGTGGATGAGTAGGTGGGTGCGTGAGTGGGTGGGTAGGTGGGCGAGTGAGTGGGTGAGTGGGTGGGTAATTCGGTGGGTGAGTGGGTGAGTAGGTGGGCGAGTGAGTAGGTGAGTGAGTAGGTGAGTGAGTGAGTGAGTAGGTGAGTGAGTGGGCGAGTGAGTAGGTGAGTGAGTAGGTGAGTGAGTGGGTGAATAGGTGGGTGCGTGAGTGAGTGGCTGAATAAGTGAGTGGATGAGTGAGTAAATTGGTGAGTGGGTGAGCGAGTAGGTGAGTGGGTGGTCATCACGGGGGAGAGGCACGGGCGTTGGACCCTCTCCAGACACCGCGCTGTGTCACCAAGGAGAAGCGACGATGCGTCAAGCCCATCCCATAATGAGGCGCGCGCGGCGCAACGGAGCAGGTCGAGTATTTTAAGATGTTCCCGTGGGTTGTGATGCTCTGAGACTTCTTGGATGCGGTGACTCAAAGCTCCCTCCACCCGCCCCAGCTCCTCCTACTGCACCCTCCCGTCACCTCCACCACCTCCATCGCCTCCACCGCCTCCACCAGCTCCATCATCTTCACCACCTCTACCATCTCCACCACCTCCATCGCCTTCACTACCTCCATCATCTTCACCACCTCTACCATCTCCACCACCTCCATCGCCTTCACTACCTCCACCACCTCTTCCGCCTCCACCACCTCCATCGCCGTCACCGCCTCAACCACCTCCACTACCTCCATCGCCTTCACCACCTCCACCACCTCTTCCACCTCTTCCACCTCAACCACCTCCACTACCTCCACCGCCTCCACCACTGCCACCCTCTCTTTCACCGCATCCACCACCACCAGCTCCAATACCTCCACCACCTCCACCACCTCCATCACCTCCACTTCCTCCACCACCAGCTCCAGCTCCTCCACCACCTTCACCCTCCATCACCTCCACTACTTCCACTACCTCCACCACCTGCACGACCCTCACTCCCTCTACCTTCTTCACCCCCTCCACCCCTCCAACCCCCTCCACCACCCCCTCCACCACCTCCTCCCCGACCCACCCCACCTCTCCCTCTCTCTCCCACGGGAACATCAAGAGGAGTCCGCTTCCAAAACACGACGAGAATAAATAGAGAGAGGAGGAGAGACAGGAGAGAGACGCAGGGAGCGCACCTCTGTCTGTCTGTCTGTCTGCCTGCCTGCCGGTCTGTCTGTCTGACTGCCTATCTGTCTGTCTGCCTGCCGGTCTGTCTGTCTGACACTCTGTCTATCTGTCTGACTGTCTATCTGTCTGTCTGCCTGTCTGTCTGTCTGTCTGTCTGTCTGTCTGTCTGCCTGTCGGTCTGCCTATCTTTCTGCCTGCCTGTCAGTCTGCCTGTCTGTCTGCCTGTCTGTCTGCGTGTCTGTCTGTCTGTCTGTCTGCGTGTCTGTCTGTCTGCCTGTCTGTCTGCCTCTCTTTCTGTCTGTCTGTCTGCCTGTTTGCCTATCTGTCTGTCTGCCTGCCTGCCTGCCTGTCTGTCTGCCTGTCTGTCTGCCTGTCTGTCTGTCTGTCTGTCTGCCTATCTGTCTGCCTGTCTGTCTGCCTATCTGTCTGTCTGCCTGTCTGTCTGCCTGCCTGTCTGCCTGTCTGTCTGCCTGCCTGTCTGTCTGTCTGTCTGCCTGTCTGTCCACCTCCCTCTCCAGGCGCGTGGTGTCTGCGCGTTGAACACGCCGACTCGAAGTGCTCCGACAATTGCTCGTTGGTCTCCCAAGAAGAAGTCACTTCTCTACGTCGTCTGTTAACCCCCTTCGCCCCACTAACCACCTCCGAACTGACCGGTGCCCATCTCTTGGTAAGGAATCGGATGCGGATCTCACCGCCGTTGGGTGAAGTTGTTGTTGGTTGATGTTGTTGATTGTTGTTGGTTGGTTGTTGGTTGTTGTTTGGTTGTTGTTGGTGATTGTTGTTGGTTGGTAGTTGGTTGGTAGTTGATTGGTGGTTGTTGTTGGTTGGTTGTTGGTGGTTGATGTTGTTGGTGGTGGTTGTTGGTTGTTGTTGGTTGGTTGTTGGTTGATGTTGTTGGTTTGTTTTTGGTTGTTGTTGGTTGGTTGTTGGTTGATGTTGTTGGTTGTTGTTGGTTGGTTGTTGGTTGGTTGTTGTTGATTGTTGTTGTTGGCTGTTGTTTGTGTGGCTACTGAGGACTCCGAGCTCACTCACTCACACGTGGCGGCCTTGCCACGATTCAAATCCAAATACTCACCAGGGTGATCGGGTGTGTAAGAGAATACGTGTGTGAGTGGGTGGGTGAATGTGTGAGTGGGTGGGTGAGTGGGTGAGTGAATGGAACAACGCACCAACTCACCCACTCACTCACCCACTCACCCACTCACTCACTCACCCACTCACTCAATCACCCACTCAGTCACCCACTCACTCACCCACTTACTCAATCACACACTCACTCACCCACTCGCTCACCAGCTTTCTCGCCCACTCATCTACTCACTGACAAAATCACCCACTTACTCACCGACTTCCTCTGAAACTCACTCACCTTCTCACTCACTCCTTCAATTACCCGCTCACTCACTCTCAAACTCACCTACTCACTTACCCTTTCACTCACTCCCTCAATCACCCACTCATTCACCCACTCACTCACTCACCCACTCGCTCACCCGCTCACTGGAGCACTCACCGACTCACTCACCCACTCACTTTGAAGCTCACCTACTCAGTCACCTCGGTGGGTGAGTAAGTGGGTGAGTAGGTGGGTGCGTGCGTGGGTGGGTGAGTGGGTAGATGGGCGAGTGAGTAGGTGAGTGGGTGAGTGAGTGGGTGAATGAGTGAGTGGATGAGTGAGTGAATGGGTGAGTGGGTGAGCGAGTAGGTGAGTGGGTGAATAAGTGAATGAGTTGGTGGATGAGCGAGTGAGTGGGTGGCTGAGTGGGTGGGTGAGTATGCGGGTGAGCGAGTAAGTGAGTGGGTGCGTGAGTGGGTGAGTGGGTGGGTTGGTGTGTGGGTGATTTGGTGAGTGCTTGAATGAGTGAGTGGGTGGGTGAGTTGGTGGGTGAGTGGGTGAGTGGGTGGGTGAGTTGGTGAGTGAGTGAGTGCGTGGGTCAGTCGATGGGTGAGTGAGAGGTTGAGTGGGTGCGTGAGTGGGTGAATGAGTGAGCGAGTGGGTGAGTGCGTGGGTAAGTCGGTGGGTAGTTCAGTGAATGGGTAAGTGGGTGAGTGGGTAAGTGGGTGGGTGAGTGAGTGGGTGAGTGCGTGAGTGAGTGAGCTCGGAGTCCTCAGTAGCAGGAAATCACCAGACAGACACCAAGCATCAGAGTAGCTTGCCAATAGCATTGCGACCAACCCGTCGAGTTAACCCACTAGATCAGCAGCAGGGAGCTTTGCGGTCCACTCGACGCAGCGAGCGGTCTACGAGGTCACTTGTCATGTCAAAGTGGACGGCACTTGGACTGCGATGCGGGGTGCGAGCGATGTTGAGGACGCCCCAACGTGGCACCACCAATCCCGGCGACCGGCGTTGTCGACCCACCGGGGTGTCGAAGGCCTTTAGCCGCATGGCTCGCCGCCGCCCTAGCGTCCTTCGCCAGCACTCGGTTGGCACGGTTGGATACGTACCGTGTGAGAGAATTTCAACACACACATTGCACAGTTGGATACGTACGGTGCGAGAGAATTTCAACACACACACACATTAGCACGGTTGGCTACGTACGGTGCGAGAGAATTTCAACACACACACACATTGCACGGTTGGCTACGTACGGTGCGAGAGAATTTCAACACACACACAGCACGGTTGGCTACGTACGGTGCGAGATAATTTCAACACACACACACAGATAGAACGGTTGGATATGTACCGTGCGAGAGAAGTTCAACACACGCACACACATAGCACGGTTGACTCCACGTTGTGCGAAAGAATTCCCTCCCTCTCTTTATTTTTTTTGACTTTTATAAATGTTATTCACCAGCGGCAATTGCGCTGCAGTTTTCCGATGCACGAGCCTTTATAGCAAAACAAAAACAACACCGGCCCAACGTCGGCAGCGTCGGCACCACAATCACCACACACCATCCGCACAACATTGCCACCGCCCCACAGCCAGTGTCCGATGCGCTCTGTCAGTCCGGGCTCTGATGCCCCTTTGCCTGGCAGGGCCCCCCTTGCTCATCCACACCCTCCTCCCCTGGTGAGGGGGGGGGGCGGTAGTTTTTTCACCTTGGTCATTATTGCCTTCAACCAGTAGATCTCCTGCCGGTTGAACCCATATCTGTGTGGGTCCTTGACCACCATCCGTGCCGTCTTCATGAAAACTCCCCTATCGGGAAACCTATCCTGCGCATGAATGTTTCGTTTTCCATACACCCCCCTCATCCAAGGGACCTCCCTCCCTAGACCTCCTCGCGTCCCAGCAAACCCCAGGCCCCCCAAAGCGGCCGCCATGGATCCCTCCCCCTCCCGAAACTCGTCGCTGGTCTCGCCGGGCGCCATCTTCATCGCGACGCTCTTCCGCGAGCCGCCTGCCCTCCGCGCCGCCGCCTTCGCCTCCGTGCTCGCCATCTACGCCGTGACGGTGACGGGCAACCCGCTGTTGGCCTACGCCATCCACCGCGACGCCCGCCTCCACAAGCCCATGTACGTCCTCATGGGCTGCCTCGCAGTCGCCGACGTCGCCGAGAGCACCGCCGTGCTACCGCGCATCATGCGCGACCTCGCCTGGGGCGGCTCCATCGCCATGGGCGAGTGCCTCGCCCAGATGTGCTTCATCCACGTGTCCCTGCGCGTCCAGGGCTACCTGCTCGCCGCAATGGCCATCGACCGCTGCCTGGCCGTCTGCCGGCCTCTCGCCTACCGCCGCCTCGTCACCAACGCTCGGGCGCTCGGCGTGGCGGCGGCCCTGGCGGCCGTGTCGGCGCTGCTGGTCGCCGGCAACCTGGCGCTGATCCTGCGGCTGCCCTACCGTGACCCCCTAGTGCTCCTCTACCCGAGCTGCGACTTCCTGGCGCTGAGCAACCTGTCGCATGGCGACACCTCTGCCAACTCGCTGTACGGCCTCGTCACCGCCGTGTTCACTGTGTTCGCGCCGCTGTGCGCCGTGGCGCTCGCATACGTCCTCATCCTGCTCGAGTGCCGGAGGCCGGCACTGCGGGGCGGGCGAGCCAAGGCGCTGCGCACGTGCGTCACCCACCTCGCCGTGCTGGTCGTCTTCTTCGCGTCGCTGCTCTTCACGGTGGCGAGCGGCCTGCGGCTGTTCGCCGAGATGCCGCGCGAGCTGCGATCGCCGCTGCTGTCGCTCTACCAGATCGTGCCGCCCGCCATCAACCCGGTGATCTACGGCCTGCGCACGGCCGAGATCAGGGCGAGCCTGGCAAGAATCTTTCGCCGAAGGGTTGAGATGGTGCGCCCGGTCGACCGAGTGATGGTCGTGGGCAAGGAGTGAATCGGCGTTCCGAGGTTGTCGTTTTAAAAATCCTTTATATTAAGTTCACTTGCTTGCGTGCTTGCGCGCTTGCGCGCTTACGACCGTGCAAATCTTTCGGTCGTTTTTTAACCCACTTCCCGTGATCCAATCGAGCTGACATTTTGCATACCGACTCGTTGTGCGTGAAAATTGATTTTCGTGAAATTTTTTTTCTAAATGTTACACTTTTTATGACAATTTTTATTTATTTAATTACCAATTGCTTAATGGTGGCACACAATCATCTGACCCATAGGTGGCAGCCATCTCAAGCCAGAGGACGAGAGGACTCTAGCCGCCACGCATATAAAGGATTTATAGTGAAAAACTTTGTTTTTACGGGTTAATTTTTTAATCCTTTATATTAAGTTCACTTGCTTGCTTGCGCGCTTACGACCATGCAAATCTTTCGGTCGTTTTTAACCCACTTCCCGTGATCCAATCGAGCTGACATTTTGCACACAGACTCGTTGTGCGTGACAATTTATTTTCGTGAATTTTTTTTCCCAAAATTTTCCACTTTTTAGGAATTTTCTTTTTTTAAATATTTAATTACCAATTGCTTAATGGTGGCAGATCTTATCTTTCGGTGACGTCACAATGTGGGAGCATTGTGACGTCACATCCGGTCGGTGGCTTTTGGCTTCGAAATTGCTGCCTCGGATATGGCTTAGAGAGAGTATTCAGCTGCTGCTATGAATTTCCACGTGGTGATGATGATGACGATGATGACACACTGGCTGCTTGTAGAGCTTTAGAATTGATTTAAAGATTATTTCATTGGTTTTTAAGTCACTAAATGGACTGGCACCTTACGAAACGCGTGACACGTTTTTAAGGAATGAGCCCAGTAGATCCCTCAGGGCAACTGGTCGTGCCAAAGGTCAGGGACTACAACGTATGGGGAGGTCAGCCTTCAGCAGTCTCTGATCCTCGCCTTTGGAACGGCTTGCTGGAGGATCTGAGTGAATCAGAATCGGTGAATGTTTAAAACGACATCTTAAAACGTAACCATCTCCAGATTGGTTTTAAATCAGGATGCACTGATTGTGTAGTTGTTACGCTTTTTACTATACTTTCTAGTTCGTAATGTTTTGTATATTTTTTTACGTATTAATCTGTCTCACCATGGGACCTCATTTTCCAGTAGCAAAATATGAGAATAGGTTTTCCCCTTTGTGCTGGCAACAAAACAGGTTATGTTAAGATGTTAAAACACCAAACTGAAACCTTTTACAAGGAATCACGTCTGCACTAACCACAATACTTGTGGTCAGAATGCAAACAAAAAACCGTACTCTGATAACACTGGTCAACACTCTTTTTCTGGCATAAGGTATTCCAACGGTTTTAAGGTAATTTTGGGGTGCTGATTCCAAATCTGGCATCAGTTTTTGTATTCTTAGGTTTTTTCGGTAAAGTCACGTAGGTAAAAAAAAAAAATTAAAGTAAAATAAAATTAAAATCACGACGTTTCGGAGGCAACACAAGTCTCCGTCATCTGGTGGGACCGTCACAGCCAGATTTGCTGCATCAAGTGAGGCAATGATTCAAGATGTAATCCCTTAAAAGCAAGTTGAGGGGGGAGGAGAGGGGGGGGGAGCTCATCAGAATGTGGTAGCCAATGAATGGAACGTATCGGGAGGGAGGGGGCGGGGCTCAAAGACGGCACGAAGTGCCACGCAGAACGCATCGGGAGGGGGAGGGGGCGCGGGGCCAAAAGGATGGGCGACGTGGTACACGGGAGTCGGCGGCGTGGACGTGGTTGTGCGCAAGCAACTACTGCTGCACACGCCAACGCATTGGACAGAGAGGGGGAGGAGAGGCCAAAAGAGAGTGTGGGGTGCAAGTGTACGTGGACATGTGTGTGTACAATCACCTGTTGATACACATGATAGAAAAGAACGAAAATGCTCATGTTTATACCAGTGCTGGCTGAACAATGAAGAGAGTACTGTTAAACACTGGGGATGTTAACACTCGGTAAAGTAAAGTAGACTAGTGCCTGTCAGATAAGATGGTCCAAAAATGTGTAATTAAGTTTTTTTTACGTGGTTGATAACATCTTTCCAATGATTACTAAGTTTGTACCCATCATCACGGTTGAAATTATGTCTGTGTTTGTATATTTGTATGGCTTCGTGTACAAACCTTTGATGGTAGCCAGGAGGTTTGCAGAGAACCTTGGTCTCGGAAAAGACAATTTCATGAGAGCCCACCGAGTTGTAGCAATGATCGGCAACGGCCGAAGAATCAGTTCTGCCGTGTTTCAGATCTGACTTGTGCTCGCGGACACGATCAGAAACATGACGTTTCGTTTCTCCAATGTAGCAATCACCACAAATGCAACTCAATTTGTAGACTCCAGGATACTGTAAGTCAGGAACGACATCCTTCACAGATGGAATCAGATCACGGATTTTATGCACTGTACTGAATCGGACTTGGATCTTATGTTTGTTTAGAATTTTGGAGATATTTTTGGTCACGCCTGTTATGTATGGTTCGTGATAGTTTTGGTCGGAGTTTCATGTGGCTGTTTCTGTGTGGTGGGAGAAACAGCTTGGCGGATAGTGCGGTCAGAGTATCCGTTCATCCTGAGGGCCCGATGTACATGTCTTAATTCACCGGTCAGGTGGTGTTGGTCAGAAATGCCATGGGCTCTGTGGTATAGCGTTTTGATGAGAGAATTCTTTTGAGATGGGTGGTGGTGGGAATCCGGTTTCAAGTAGGAATCTGTGTGGGTGGCTTTCCTGTAGACAGAATGTCCCAAGGATCCGTCAGGCCTCCTCTCAAACAGAATATCCAAGAATGGTAGTTTACCGTCTTTCTCCACTTCCATGGTGAATCTGATGGATGGGTGTCTAGAATTGATGTGGTCCAAGAAGTGGTTCAATGCTGGGAGGCCATGTGGCCAGATGACGAAAGTGTCATCCACATACCTCTTCCACAGGGAAGGACGCAGGGTAGATGTCTGGATGGCGTCTGATTCAAACTTTTCCATGAACATGTTGGCTATAACTGGTGACAAGGGGGAGCCCATAGGGGTACCCTCATTCTGTTTGTAGAAGGTGCCATTCCAGGTAAAATAGGTGTTGGTGAGGCAATGCCTAACCAGCGCAGGTACATCAGAATTCAATCAATGTTGGACTAAATCCTCAATTATTGTTAGGGTGTCCGGTACTGGGATTTTCGTAAACAAAGATACTACATCAAAGCTGACGAGGATGTCATCAGGAGATAGTACCATGTCCTTAACCATAGAGACTAATTGGGTTGAGTTGAGTACTGCCGAAGAGGTCTTGCCTGTGAAGGGGAGCAGAGTATCTGATAGAAAACGGGCTAGTTTGTACGTAGGAGAGTTTATCGTCAACACGATGGGTCGTCCAACATAGATTGAATTCTGATGTACCTGCGCTGGTTAGGCATTGCCTCACCAACACCTATTTTACCTGGAATGGCATCTTCTACAAATAGAATGAGGGTACCCCTATGGGCTCCCCCTTGTCACCAGTTATAGCCAACATGTTCATGGAAAAGTTTGAATCAGACGCCATCCAGACATCCACCCTGCGTCCTTCCCTGTGGAAGAGGTATGTGGATGACACTTTCGTCATCTGGCCACATGGCCTCCCAGCATTGAACCACTTCTTGGACCACATCAATTCTAGACACCCATCCATCAGATTCACCATGGAAGTGGAGAAAGACGGTAAACTACCATTCTTGGATATTCTGTTTGAGAGGAGGCCTGACGGATCCTTGGGACATTCTGTCTACAGGAAAGCCACCCACACAGATTCCTACTTGAAACCGGATTCCCACCACCACCCATCTCAAAAGAATTCTGTCATCAAAACGCTATACCACAGAGCCCATGGCATTTCTGACCAACACCACCTGACCGGTGAATTAAGACATGTACATCGGGCCCTCAGGATGAACGGATACTCTGACCGCACTATCCGCCAAGCTGTTTCTCCCACCACACAGAAACAGCCACATGAAACTCCGACCAAAACTATCACGTTACCATACATAGCAGGCGTGACCAAAAAGATCTCCAAAATTCTAAACAAACATAAGATCCAAGTCCGATTCAGTACAGTGCATAAAATCCTGTGATCTGATTCCATCTATGAAGGATGTCGTTCCTGACTTACAGTATCCTGGAGTCTACAAATTGAGTTGCATTTGTGGTGATTGCTACATTGGAGAAACGAAACGTCATGTTTCTTATTGTGTCCGCGAGCACAAGTCAGATCTGAAACACGGCAGAACTGATTCTTCGGCCGTTGCCGATCATTGCTACAATTCGGTGGGCTCTCATGAAATTGTCTTTTCCGAGACCAAGGTTCTCTGCAAACCTCCTGGCTACCATCAAAGGTTTGTACACGAAGCCATACAAATGTAGAGGAGTAGAGGAGAGTGGTGGCGTCGTGTGCGCTGTCCGGTGCGGTGACATCACTGGGACGTGGGGTCGCACGCGCTGGGCAGTGCACGTGACGTCACCCCTCCTAGGCTATTTAAGGGAGACCCCGTGACGCAAGCGGGGTCACTGGAGAAACGGGGATAGTAACAGGGTGAAGAGGGAACCAGGGATAGTGATATGTGTTAATAAACCCTGGCGGAAGCCCCTAACTCACCTCTGTCTCCGAGTACGTCCGTCGGAACCACTCAACAACTGGTGTCAGAAGTGGGATGCCCAATTGGAACGCTATTGTGTGGTTGTGCCCACTAGCCTGCGTGGTAAATTAACCCGAGCCATTCACGAGAAGCTTATGCACCTTGGCTACCACAAGACCTTATTGACCCTTAAGCGGGACTATTACAGGCCTGGTGTTGAGGGTGACGTGGCACTGATTTTGAAGGGTTGCCATGACTGCGCGCGGAGGAAGGTCCCAGTTGTCCGGGACCGGGCCCCGCTGCAGTCCATCCGGGTTTCTCGCGTTAATGAGCTCGTGGCGCTCGACATTTTG